AGGGGGGGGGAGAGAGAAACAGACAGATAGAAAAAAGATCGGTAAACCCCTCCAACCACCAAACCACACGCGGAGCCAGAAAACCAGAAGCACAACAGAATCGGCGGAAAGAAAACTGCAGTTTAAAAAAAAGAATTGTTTGAAATATTGAAGTCTTTATCGACACAATTTATTTCACAGAAATTTAGAGGGTGATTTCCTGTCTGTACCAAACCAAGGATAGAGTATCCCAACAGAAAGAGGGACGTACACGGATAAGACTTCCCATGAAACGATTGAACCCACATCGTTAGCTTTAAAGGGCGAAAGGTTTAGCCATCACACGGACGCTGGTTTTATTAAACGAAGAACGTTACTGATGAACAGGGGATGAATTAAGCAGACCTATTACAGCACTAAATTAGTAGAATGTGTCTTGATGATTGTCTTTAAGAGAAATATGCAGCCACATCCCGCCATCCACGCGAAGCATTTCCTGCAGCGCGCAAGTTGGCTGCCTAGTGTAACTCCGCCATATGCTATTTCAAAAAGTGACGTGACGTTTAACGGAGTCTTACTCTGAGCAGTCAGAATATAGTATCTTATCTCATCTCATCTCTTGAGGCGAGAGTACAAAAGGCTAACAGCGGCAGCTACCAGCTTGCCCCACTCCTCAAACATCCTAACATCCCCATTGAGACCAAAGCCAAGCTCATTAACTCTGTCTTCATCCCCACCTTGACCTACCAGTGACAGACATGGACCCTGACCAAAAGCCTGGAACGTAAGATAACCACCTGCGAGATGAGATGTCTAACGAGAGCCGTCAACAAAACCAGACGGGACATGGTCAGAAACAACAAGTTCAGAGAAATGATGGGAACAAAACCTGTCCTCCACTACATCCGAAGGCAAACAATCAGGTGGTTTGGACATCTCACGCGTATGGCACCTAATCAGCTAGCCAGTAAAGCCTACTGCAGGAAAGTAAAAGGGTACAAAGCAAGAGGAAGACCAAAAAAGACCTGGATCCAGGGTGTGGAGGATACCCTGAGAACATTCAATATCCCACCTAGCCGGGCCATAGAACTTGCTAGAGACAGGAAGCTCTTTCTCCCCTCGACACCCTAGTGGTACAAGAGGACGGATAAAGCAAAGTAAGTAAGATCTCATCTCATCTCATCTTATCTTATTTTATCTTACCATATCTTATTTTATCTTATCTATCTTGTCTTATCGTGTTTTATCTTGTATTATCTTAAACTTGTTCAGCAATGGTATATTCTTAAACTTTTTGTTTATCCCCGTTTGCTGTAACTTAAGGTGGTAGTATACTGGATTACAAGGCATATGATCCTAGTTCGAATCCCCTAAAAGGGGCAGATTTGAATTTTCCAAGATTCCCGCCCCGATCCTCCATTTGGCTCGGTATTATCGCAAGTGTGCGTTGAATTTGGAGGTCCTGCTCAGGGGTAAGCAGTTTACTGAAACGGGCATTAAACCAACAAGTGATACACATATTCATTAAAATCGGTGTTGTTAATCGTAGCAACCATTATCTGATGATTTAAGAAATATTTCCCTCTCTTACAACAGGTTTGGTGGTATGTGAGTTCGCTAGAACACTATGACGTCGAAGGTTTATTTCTCAAGTGGAGAAATTTCTTTTGTCGTCTTTTCATCTGTCTTCTGGGGTACTGTATCCAACCCAGCTCTGGTTGGCCCTGACAAGACCGGTCGAAGCATCCTACCTCCTAAGTGTTCCAGACTGATTTAAAATGCAGGTGTTTTTACGCTCCCATTGACACAGTTCAGATAATTAAAGAAGCAGGATTCCGACACTCCTTGCCGGGTCTAATCCGAAAACATCCCAGCAGAAAGAGCGAGAACTCGATAAATAGTCGCCCCACTTAGGAATCGAACGCGGGTCCCCTGCGTGTGACAGCGAAGCGCATAACAACTACGCCACAGACCCTGGTTGTGTAAATTGTGTAAATGGAAGCGTAAAGCATTCACTGAAATCGGTCATACTTTCACGAGTAAGCTGTGATGCCACTTTTAGTAAGTAATTGTAACACGCTGCTCCCGATTACCCCTCGCAGTTGTCCATTTTGCTACAGTCTTCAACAACAAAGAGGTTCAACTTAACAACTGAAAACATCCGGAAGCCAAGGTGTGGTGACACGGCTGGCACGGTACCTGGTTCCGCTAGACACACCCCTTCCAGGCGCCCCATGGATTTGTAACACAATACGTTGGCCAAGCGCAACAATACATCTGATTTAGTCTCTGTCAGAAGAGATACACCTCTTTGCTAGTGGGCGGAGGAACGCTTACGACAAGCACACAATGGAACTGTAAAAAGAAACGATTGTTTGTGTGTGTTTGACTTACGCCAGCCGGAATTGGATTGTAGTACAAATTCAACAGTATAAATTGCAATTATTTTACGTCCACTCCTCTGTTGACAAAATTCAGGGGTTTATTCTAGAAAGCAGTCTGCTCCGACCTACCTTACGTGTGAGGGCCACCTCATACTAAATGGGATAAGCATCCCGGCAAAAAGACGGAATAAATATTCGATTAAATAAATTTTTCCATGCGGGAATCAAACTCACGTCGTTTGCGTTGTACGTCTAAGGCCCAGTGCTCACTGGGAAAATGTCTACTCGTCGCACTACCGCGAAATGTGACGTCACTTGGTGGTGAATATAGACGAACGAGCGAAAGTTGCCTCATTTGCATACTTACAACCGTGCGATGAGTGGAATTTGTTCTTACAGTGTGCGTGAAGAGCAAGAGCCTAAACAATACATGTTGGTGAACTGGATAGTAAGAAACAGAGGCAGCTGAAGCTGTGAGCCATCTGCGTACGAGTTTTTGTACTTTCTGTTTTACTTTATTATATTATACTAAATCGTGTGATATACACATGTATTAGGCTTATTGTAACTACCACTCCTAATGACCAGATTTTAAAGATCTGATCTGCTGGATTTAAAAAGGATCTTGGGTTTATCGTAAATAACGTACATGTGTGTGTGTGTGTGTGTGTGTGTGTGTGTGTGTGTGTGTGTGAATGTGTGTGTGTGTGTGTGTGAGTGTGTGTATGCCTGTGTGTATGTTTGTGTGCGTGTGTCTGTGTTTGTGTGTGTGTGTGTGTGTGTG